TGTTACAATAATGGCATTTTGCCAATAGTTCATTCTGTTTTCTCTCCAAGCATCATGAAGGTTCTTAACTTAGTGGATAATTTTACAAGCTTCTCTTTAGTTGGGTAATATTCTTACTTTAGGATGCACTTGCTCTAAAAAATGCCTCTAAATTATAACTGCAGTCTCCTTCTTTAAGAGGTAGAATTAAGACATGCCCAGAAAAATTATTTTGTTGCATATTCTGGGGGGGGTGGGGGGGACTAGAAATATCAGTGTACAAGATCTCCTGCTCAGCATTAATAAGCTGTCCCTGATAAAACATTAAGCTGTCCCTTTGTGAAACATTATCTGGTTCCATTATTTTAATGTAACAAATTTTAATACATTGCACATCAAACCACACTCTCATATAGTTTCCTAAAAAAGTAGATAAAACACAATGAGATGCCTATTATAAGTAACAAGCAAACACATTAAGATGAAATGTTCAAAATGTTACTTCCTGAGCATCAAACATTTAAAATGGTTGTTAACAGGCAACTGCCTTATGTGCAGGAACAGGTGCATTTTGCACAATATACGGTAAATGTTATGTTTATAATATGGCATGACCAATGATGCACTCAACAAATAAAATCTATTACAAAAATGAAGATAAATATGTGCAATAAAAATAGATAATTTCCTATCATGGACTATTAGTGAGGCAGAAAAGGCAAGAATGGAGGAAGTAAGGGAGTTCACTCATTTTTGTTGATGGTTATAGAAAGATGTGCTGGAATTGGGTGTTAAAGGGCAATTTCAGAGAAAATTTCAGAGGAACTAATAGAGATTCATCATCATTCTGAAGTTTCTGTACCAACTCTTGCACAGGAAGACTTAGGTTTAAAAAAAGAATTGTAAACTATACTTTGCTTACCTCCTGCTGTTTAAGTTTCTAAATTTCTCTGTGTGATGGTAGAAGTTATGGATCTGGGAATCATGATTGGTCTGTAAACACCAGGAATGCCTGAAATATTTATCGTCCTTTGTTGACTGTTTTTGAGTCTGACAAGTAGACTTGGAATATAGGTCAAACATTTTCCATACACTGTTTTGTAAAAATCATGTATCAAGTTTGGTATAGAAACATAATTTTTTTTATTATAAACAAAATCAGCAATTAAAAGCGGGAGGGTGTTACTGAGAGAGAGTTCTTTGGGGCTTCATGCCACTCTTATCTTTTTATAATAAACAAGGGCCTGGGACTAGGGAATGAGTGCATTGCCAGTCCATTAAAACACTTTTCTCTTCCTGGCTGCTTATCATCCACAATCATCTCATTCTCAGATTTACTTATCCCAGCACATTCATTTTTTTTTATTATTGTGGCAAAAAAAATTACATAACATAAAATACACCCTCTCAACAATTTCTGATATTGTCAGCCACATGCACATTGCTGAGCCGCAGATCCAAGAACACAACGCCCATATCCCCATCCAGGATGAAAGTACATTCATTTTGATACTCTGTATTTATACTGGTTTCCTGTTACCTATTTACATTTATGACTTTTCTCTGTTATACTTATTTTAATATTTCATTGCTATCCTTATACTTAAACAAAAGTTGTTCAG